AAGCGCGAAGGCCGCCAGGCGTGGCCGTGCCCCAGGTGTGCTTTACAAGGAACTGCCTTGGATTTTACTGCCATTCCTTGCAAGAGCCAAGTGCCTCGCATGCCACTGATCAGCTGAGTGACCTTGGGCCCTGCCTTCGCCTCCCCGGCCCGCTTGCTCCTCCCAGCCGTGCCTCTAGCTTGGGAGCTCTCCGAGGCAGGGGCTGGCTCCACCCTGTGTGTGAAAGGGCCGTCGCAATGGGGCCCAGATCTTACCTAACTAATAATTGTGTAACTACCCAGGCTGCCAGCGCCCCGGGGCTGAGCCCCCCGCTGGCCTTTTTCCTTCTCGTGCGCCAGCACGTGTAAGAAAGGTTTTGCTGTCCTGGTCGCACCTCGGTGAAGCCTCTGTACCCCACTGGGTTTCCCTGGGTGTTGCTGGTTGGTTCAGGGATTGCACCCAGGGAGCAGTTCTGCTGATGCCCAAGGAGGAGCAGGGTCCAGCCTGTGTTGGGCTGGTTCTGCAGGGCTAATAAGAGCCCCTAGCCCTAGCCGTTAGCATCCAAGTGCACGGGGCGCTGGGCTTGTGGGTAAGGAAGGGCCAGTTTACGCGGTCGCTTTGCGGAGAAGAGCTGTGCTTGGAGGATGGGCCAGGCCCACAGTAGGTAGCCTGGCCACCAGTTCTGCTTTTCCAGGCCATGAGGAGCCAGCAACAGGTCTGCTGCTAAAAGGCCCCTTCTCGTAGCCAGTCGCCCCCGCTGGATGCAGCTCAAGCTGAGGTTGCTCTGGGCCGGAGTCCCACAGGCAAATCTCTGCGCGCTGCCTCAGGGTGACAGATGCGAATCCCTCCCAGCGCTCGCTCGGGAAGTGGTGGCCCAAGACCCGTAGATTGCCTGCCACCCATGGGTGCTGCTGTCTGTTACCGGTGGTGGCGTTTTGGCGCTGGTGTGAATGCTGGGTGAGATCATGCAGATGGGTTAACAAATGTCATGGGTTTGTTGTACTCCAATCCCAGAATCCATCATGGGAGGCAACTAACGATATGCACCAGCAGGCATGCTGATTGGCGAGACCGCCCCATTGCCTTTGGCTGAACCATCATGGCTACATTATGCACTTCAGCGTGTGGGTCACATCCTCTGCCTGCGTGTGTGTCCACCCATTTATCCCTGGCCAGGCTTTTAACCCAGGCCAGGCTGGAGCTGGAGTGCGAGGAGGGCCCAGGAGCCAGCAAGGGCTTGCGGGGAGCCGTATCAGTGGAAGTGAAGTGTTTATTGGAAGACAGTCAAGTGTGGAAAGCTCTGTCCGATTTTCCACTGCCGGGCTCTGGAGAGCGTCTCCGGCACGTCCCGTCTGAGGGGCCATTTAAGGAGCTTATTGTTAGAGAAGCTCCAGGCTCTGTACGCCACATGCCAAGCTCAGGGTTCGTAGCCTTGCTCTGGTTCTGCTTGAGCTTTGCAGGCACTAGGGTGAGGTCCTGCCCCCTGTACACGCTCTGGATGGAGACAGCTAGCGTACGCTTTCCTCCCTTAGCTCCTGATTTTTGCCTTTTCCAGGGAAACTGGCCACAGTGCTGGAGGGTGTTCGAATGGTATTTAGCATTTTACAAACACTGACTACTTAATCTCCACAATCATGTTGATGGATTCGGGCTATTCCCCATGGGGAAACTGAGTTACGGAGGGGCAAAGTGACTGGAGAGGAAAGAGTTGCTTTGGAAACACATCTGGTCTGAGGTGCTCAGACAGGTATGGCCAAGCAGGCTCACTCTGCCGGAGATAACACTGGTTGCCCACTGGTTGCAAGTGGGGAAATTGAGGCACAGAGGAACGTAACTCGCCCAAGGTCACAAAGTGAGTCAGTGGCAGAGCTGGGAATAGGACCCAGGAGTCCTGATTCATTGGACAGGAAGGGACCTTGAGAAGTCTCTAGTCCAGTCCCTTGCACTCACAGCAGGACTAAGTATTATCTCGATCATCCCTGACAGGCATTTCTCCAACCTGCTCTTAAAAATCTTCGAAGATGGAGATTCCACAACCTCCCTGGGCAATTTATTCCCGAGCGTAATCACTCTGACAGTGGGGAAGTTTTTCCCATCAGGAATCTGTATCTTGGGACGAGTGGCTGCAGGAGGGAACACAGTGTACAAGGCTGCTATTCTGGGGTCATGGCCCGCAGGGCAGTGACTAAACGAGGGTCGAGGGTCGAGCTGAACACGCTTTCCCAAGTGATGGCTCTGGCTCAGGGCGAAGCAGGGGCAGGCTGGGGGCTGGGAAAGGCCATGCAAAAGAGAAAGGGAAAGCAGCTGTTTAGGCAGCGGAATAACCAGGCATTAGGAGCATTTCCTGTTTAGTAAATATAACGCAGGATCAACAATGGGGCCGCAGGAAAAACCTTCCGGGAAATCAGCCCGTCTCCTAGCCAGGGGCCTGGGCTGAGATGCTCACGTAGCCCCCACGCAATGGGACACAGGCCAGGCTAGGGCCACCACGTGGCACTGACCAGCCAGGTGCCCTGCGGCCAACCCAAGCAGGTCAAGCACTTGAGGCGCACCTGGGAGAGAGGTGCCCCAGCCTCTGTGACCAGCCCCAGCCCCTTCTGCCCCACTCCCTCCAGTGAAGGCATGTGCTAGGCGCTCAGCAAAGCGGTGTCCCTGCGGCTTCTAGCGCCCGGTCCAGGTGTGCAAAGCGGGGGCCTTTGGGCTGCCCTGTGTCTCCCTGTCTTGCCATCCCCGCCCCTACGCTAGCCAAATGGACTAGGCGGTGACTAGCCATCTGTCAGTCATCTGCTAGCCCCCTCCCGCCCAGTGTTAACGCTGGCTCCCCTCACTGCAGGAGCGGCCCCGAACCCAACATTTGCAAGGCAGCGCCATGGAGTTAAACCTCCCTGGGCTGACACTGTGCCCTCGACCTGGCTGCGAGCTCAGACGCCAGCTGGGACAGGGCCATGTCGCAGGGCTCACTGGCAGGAGTCTGGACTCCTAATGCCCCCCTCCCCATCAATCCCCGCTCACCCGGAGGGAACAGGCTCACCTCATGGTCCTTTGTCACCCACTGGATTCCAAATCCCAGCCCCCAGCCCTGCTTTTTCAGTGGCCTTTTCGGGGCATCTGAATTAGTGCAGGATGTGGAGGGGGGGCTGCAGCAGCTCTGCCCTATATGCCCTGGGCAGGGGAGGGGGCCTCACACACATAGGGTACATGTGCCCCTGGCATGGGAGCCACACAGCCCACAACATGGCCAGAACCCACAGTTACTACAAGGTACAGAACTGTTCATTCAATGTGTATTCCCTGCCCCTGGTCTCTGAGCTCAGCGGTAGCCCCATTTTACACGGGGGGAGACTGAGGCACAGAGAGGGTGACACGGCTGGCTCAGATTCACCCAGCCAGAGGGGATTGGGGCCAGAGGAGTCCTGGCCCCAATCCCCACCCCTGCTTTGACCCATTAGCCCCCGCACGCTATGCCCGGAGCTGGGCCTAGAACCGGAGAGTTCTGGCTCTGTGCCCCCCCCCACCCAGCTCTGACTACTCCAGCGGGGGCTTGGCTGCACGAAGAGGAACCTGGCCGGGGGTGGGGGTGCTCCCAGCCAGCGGGAAGAGGGCACGGAACCTGTCAGCTGGTGGGGAGGTGGCGTGGGGCTGGGCACCAGGGTGAGCCCCCACGTCTCAGACACAAAGCAGGGCCGTGTGCTAGGTAGCTCCGAGCTCTGTGTCCCTGGCACCAAGGAAGAACGCAGGGGGACGTGGCTGGGGGGCAAGGGGGGGCGAACACCCCTATTCTCTTTGTGTCCGGACAATGACTGACCCAGCCCCAAGGGCCCTGATGCCCCTGGCATGGCACCTTTCCACCAGTCTGGCCTTTGGTTCTCGGTTCCCCAGCCAAGGCCCTCCGGCTCCTGTCTCTGCATACGCCGGGCCAGCACCATCCCACAGCGCTGAAAGAGCTGGCTAAGGACAGTCTAGGCTGCACTCTGGGGTCACCCCCCCAGCCACAGTAGCATGGTGAGCGGCTACTAAACCCAGCTGTGGGCCCAACGCCGCGGGGCGGGAACCGCCAGGCCCGGCGCATGCCAGGGGCTAGGTTTGGCAATTGTCCCTGCATATCGGACACAGCTGAGCATGGCACTGCAGTTTGGGCGTGTGGCCCTTGGCCGTCCTGCCCCCAGGGACCCCGGGAGTCCCGCCAGGCAGGTTCTCGCTGGGGAGGAAAGCGAAAGCAGCTGACGTGCCGGCGTGCAGCTGGAGTGCTGGGCGCGAACCCAGCAGAGGTCAAGGTCCTGGGGCTCGGGTGCAGCCTTCCCATGGGGCAGGGGGCCGGTCACGGGCGTTCCTGAGCCAGCAAGACGCCGGTCTCAGCCCCACCACATCCTGGTGCCCCGCCCAGAGCCGCCAGGCGCTAGGCCTGCAAGGCGATGAGTGAGGGGATGCGGGGGGAAAGCTTGGCACCCAGCAGCACCCAGCAGGTAAGGGGGGTGCTGGGCCCCGGGGGATTGTGGGGAAAGGGAATGGGGCAGTTGAGGGAATCTGGGCCATTTGGGGGGGGGGGCGGAGGAGGGACTGAATTGGGGGCTGGGTGAGGGACCTACCCAGGGGATCCTGGCAAATGGGGTGCTGGGGCCCTGAGGGCTCCTGGGTGCAGGGAATGGGATGCTGGGGGCTGTCTCTGCCCTGGGTACAGTCTGAGCCCCCTCGCCCAGTCCCCTCGCTGTGCAGACCCGACCCCCCCCCCAAACTCGTTCCTTTTCTCAGCCCTTGGTCCCTCTTGCCCCATCCCCTGCTGCGTGCTTGGGGCGGGGGGGGGGCAAGAAACGGTCCGTCCCTCTGCCCCAGCCACGGGACCTGGGACGGGGGGGGGTGCAGGCTTGGGGGAGGGGGCTGGCATGCTGCCCCGGGGGGGGCGGGCTTGGAGGAGGGGGCTGTGGGGCAGCCCCGGAGGGCGGGCTTGCGGGAGGGGGCTGGCCGGGCTGCCCCGCGCTGTCTCTTTAAGAGGCTCCAGGCGGAGCTGCGGGGAAAGTCCCGGGCCGGACAATGCGCGAGCCCCGGGCAGCCTGCGCCGAGCCGGGTCCGGGACGCGGCCCCTGCACGAGCCCCCGCCTGCAGGTACCGGCCGGGCTGGGGCTGGGGCTGGGGCTGGGGCGCGGGGGGGGTGACTGCGCCCCCCAGGGGACGGCCCGGGGACAGGGTGAGTCTGCCCCAGGCTGGGGTGGAGTGGGGGGCTGCCCCCCCCCCGGCAGGGAGCCCCACGGCTGGCACCACGCGTGAAACAGCCCCTCCCCCCGTGACCTGGGGGCCACCCCTCCCCTCTGGACGCTGCGCCCCAAAGCCCAGCCGGGGCAGGCTGGGGCCCCCCCAGGGCTGGAGGGACCAGCTGGGCACGGGGTCCAGCCCCTGCCGCCCGGGCATCAGTGACACCTGGGGTGAGTGGGCCACGAGCAGATCCTGGCCCGGGGGGTCCCTGGCCCCCAGCCCCTGACTTACTGGATACTAGCAGGGCCCCCCCATCCTCTCATCCAGGCCCCATGGGGACAGGCCCTTTGCCCCTTGGTGCCGCAACGGGCACTGGCCAGATGACAGGAACAGGACACCACAGCCGGGGGGGCTTGGTGTCCTCCAGCCCCTTGGCTTTAAATGGGGGAGCCTAGGCCAGCCTCTGCCCCAAGCCCCCCCAGCGACCAGCCCTGCGTGACCAAGGAGACCAGTGCCCCATGCCCATGGCCAGCGCAGTGCCGGGATGCCCGGGCTCATGGCCAGCAGCAGCTGCCTCCAAGAGTGGGAGGTCTGGCTTGGCTGAAGGTGGGTGATGCGTGGGGAGTGGAATCGCCTGTGGGGAGCAGAGGCCTGACCCACATGTGGGCTGGGACCTGGGTCTTTCAGCCCCTGGCCCCGAGAGCCCTTCCTGGCCCCCTGCTGCTCTAGAGAAGCCGGTCCCAGCGGGGCAGCTCCCTGTGCCCAGAGCACCCCCGGCCGCAGCTGGCAAACGGTGAGCCCGGCCCAGCCTCCCTGACCCACCTGCGCCCTGCACAGAGCTGAGCACCGCAGCCAGCCCCCAGCTCCTGCGTGCCCAGGGCACTGGCATGGCGGCTGGCTGGGGGCATCTTGGCCCCGGTACCACCGGGGCTCGGCTCGTGGGTGCAGCGCTCAGTCCGGGCAGCGAGGAGCCGGGGTGGGGGGAGGAGCGCTGGCAGCTGAGGGTCGCTGCAGCCCCACAGATGAGAACAGCCTTGACCCCTGAGGCGGACTGCATAACCCTTGCGGCTGGCTTACGGCTCCCGGCTAAGGGGGGCTGTGTTTAGCAGGGAGTCTGTGTCCACGCTGTCAGTGGGGGGGCCCTGGGTGCCCAGAGCGGGGAGCAGGTGGCAGCTCTAACTGGCGTTATTCCCCTAGTGCGGCCCCGGCCCCGGCCCCGGCCCCGGCCCCAGCCATGGGCGAGTGGAGCTTCCTGAGCTCGCTGCTGGACGCCGTGCAGGAGCACTCGCCCATGGTGGGCCGGTTCTGGCTGGTGGTGATGCTGATCTTCCGCATCCTCATCCTGGCCACGGTGGGCAGCGACGTCTTCGAGGACGAGCAGGAGGAGTTCACCTGCAACACGCTGCAGCCAGGCTGCAAGCAGGTCTGCTACGACAAGGCCTTCCCCATCTCCCACTACCGCTTCTGGGTCTTCCACATCGTGGTGCTGTCGGCCCCTGCCCTGCTCTTCGTCATGTACGCCATGCACCAGGGCGGCAAGCTGCGGCAGGGCCAGGAGGGCGGCCCCGCGGGCCCGCCCCGGCTGCAGCCCAGCCAGCGGGCCCACCACATCCGCACCTTCTACCTGGCCAACGTGGCCATGCGCATCCTGGCTGAGACCGGCTTCCTGGTGGGCCAGTGGCAGCTGTACGGGTTCCACGTGGAGCCGCGCTTCACCTGCCAGAGCTCGCCCTGCCCCCACACGGTGGACTGCTTCGTGTCCCGGCCCACCGAGAAAACCATCTTCATCCTCTTCTACTTCCTGGTGGGCGTGGTCTCCGCCCTGCTCAGCCTGCTGGAGCTGGCCCACCTGCTGGCCAAGGACAGGTGCCAGGGGCAGGAGGCCGCCAAGCCCCCGGCCACCTCCCACGAGCAGCAGGAAAACTGGTCCAACCAGGCGCACGAGCAGTGCCAGCAGTTCCTGCCCCCGGGCGAGGGGGGCGCCAAGGGGGCGGCCTGCAGCGTCCCCAACCACTACGAGCCCTCGGCCCCGTTCCGGCCCCACGCCCCCTCCAAGGGCAGCATGGCCTCCCGGCCCGCGGCCAAGTCCGATTTGGTGGTCTAGGGCTCACGCTACAGCCCAGCTCCCATCTGTGCCAGTCACCGGGCCTTCCGCTTAGCAGGGTTGCCGCGGCAACACCAGTGACCTGAGCGGGACGTTCTCAGCCCTGCTGCAGCTTCAGTGGCCCTGAGCAACCTTCCAGCTGTGCCCTAAGGGCCCGGGGCCCACAGTCCGTACCAGCCCCGTACAGCCTGGCAGAGGGCGCACAGAGGACCCTGAGCCTAGGGCACAAAGCCCCTTATGCCACGAGCAGCAGGAAAGGAGCTGGCTAGACTACAAGGAGTGACAGCGTGGCCCAAGGCTTAGAGCATTGGGCTGCCACAGGGGAGAGCTGGGGGTCTCATTCCGGCTGGTGTAGGCGACCAGACGAGGGGCAATGAACTGACCCAGCCCCTCTGCCTGCTGCTCAGCCGGGGGACGGGACGGTTCCTGAAGACAGGAAGCTGGGCGGGGTGGGCAGGGATGGGGGGCTCTGGGGCCAGGCGAAACGGTGTCGCCAAATTTTATACATTTGTGTGAATAAACAGAAGAAAACTTTTTAATTAAAAAACCCGAGCCCAGCCGGTGATTTGCGAGCGAGATTGGTGCCGTGGCGTGAGCCGAACTGCAACTTGGTCCCACGGGGGGGGACACACTGCCCTGGGCTGGGGCCATGTTCTCCCTTCGTTTTCACACTTTGATTTGGAGCAGGAGCTAAATTCAACCTGTCCTGTCAGTGACACATTCCCTCTGCCCGAGTGCTCGGAGGCTCCACCCTGGCAGAGCTGGGCAAGGCCGGGCAGGGCTTGCTGCCCAGAACCGAGCCTTGGCAGCACTCACCTCTGTGGGGAGAGGTACTGGCAGTGCCCCGTGTTGGAACCAGATTCCAGGCCGTCCCAGCGCGCCGTGTGGCAACGATTGTTCTGGCCACGCTGGGCATGCGGCTGCAGACGCCTGTGGGCTTAGCGGCAGCTGAGGGCCTGCGATGCCCGTGCATGGGGTGGAACCTGGTGTCAGATGTCAGCCCCACCCTGTGTGGGCTGGATACGGTGACAGAGGTGTGGGGGGAGCCCAGCAACAGAATAGCTGGGGGCTGCAGGTCAGGGTTGAGGGGCACTGGCAGGGGGTGTGCCAGGGTTCCCATTAATCGCGCGGTGCGTGGCCGTGGGCCTGTGACAGCCGCGGGCGCGGCCGTGGGGGCTCTCACATTTTGGGAGGGCGCGTGTGGCTGTCTGGCTGCCATGCAGGGGGCAGGGGCTGGCTGTGTGCCAGGTTCCCCTTGTCTCCTGTTTCCTGTTGCAGGAGGGTGGCTCCACATCCAGAGGTTAATGGAAAAAAAGGCAGAAAAGAAAAACACCAACCCCCCTCCCGTGCCAGATCCTGCGCAAGGGCCCCCCCATTAACCCTCTCATGGCTGCACCACTGCCCAAGCCAGGACTCCTGGGTTCTGTTCCCAGCTCTGCCCGTGACGCACCATGGGGGAGGCTCTTGCTGTGCCTCAGTTTCCCCAGCTATAGTGCTGCAGGTGCCTGGGCGAGGCTGTATTAATTAGGGCTGTCAAGCGATTAAAAAAATTAATTGTGATTAATTGCATGCTTAATTGCACTGTTAAACAAGAACAGAATGCCATTTATTTAAATATTTTTGGATGTTTTCTACATGTTCAAGTATATTGCCTTCAATTACAACACAGAATACAAAGTGTACAGGGCTCACTCTCTATGTATTTTTGATTACAAGTACTTGCACTGTAAAAAAAACAAAAGAAATAGTATTTTTCAGTTCACCTAATACAAGTACTGTGGTGCAATCTCTTTATCATGAAAGTCGAACTTACTAATGTAGAATTATGTACAAAAAATAACTGCATTAAAAAGTAAAACAATGTAAAGCTTTAGAGCCTGCAAGTCCACTCAGTCCTACTTCTTGTTCAGCCAATTGCTCAGACAAACAAAGTTGGTTACATTTGCAGGAGATAATACCGCCCGCTTCTTGTTCACGTCACCTGAAAGCGAGAACAGGCGTTCGCATGGCTACTCTTGTAGCCGGCGTCGCAAGATAGTTACATGCCGGATGCGCTAAAGATTCATATGTCCCTCGATGCTTCAAGCACCATTCTGGGGGATGTGCGTCCATGCTGATGACGGGTTCTGCTCGATAACCATCCAAAGCCGGGCAGACCGACGCAAGTTCATTTTCATCATCCGAGGGGAGATTTTCCTTTTGGGTGGTTCGGGTTCTGTAGTTTCCGCATGGGAGTGTTGCTCTTTTAAGACTTCTGACAGCACGCGCCATGCCTCGTCCCTCTGAGATTTTGGATGGCACTTCAGATTCTCTTAAACCTTGGCTCCAGGGCTGTAGCTATTTTTAGAAATCTCACATCGGTACCTTCTTTGCGTTTTCTCAAATCTGCAGTGACAGTGTTCGTCAATCAGACGGGCTGGGCCGTCATCCGAGACGGCGAAAACCCGAACTATACGGCAGAATGCGGGTAAACCAGAGCAGGGGACACCCAAGTCTCCCCAAAGGAGTTCGGTCACAATTGTAATTACCGCATTAGTTTTTTAACAAGCGTCATCAGCATGGAAGCATGTCCTCTGGCATGGCGGCCGAAGCATGAAGGGGCGTACAAATGTTTAGCATATCTGGCATGCGAAGACCTTGCAATGTTGGCTACAAAAGTGCCATGCGAACACCTGTTCTCACTTTCTGGTGACATTGTAAACAGGAAGCGGGCAGCTTCGTCTCCTGCAAAGTAAAACCTGTGTTTGTCTGAGCGATCGGCTGAACAAGAATAGGACTGGGTGGACTTGCAGGCTCTGAAGTTTTACATGGTTTTGTTTTTGAGTGCGGTTATGTAACAAAAAACCCCCAAATTTGTAAGTTGCACTCCAGGATAAAGATGCTGCACTGCAGCACTTGTATGAGGTGAGTTGAGAAGTATCGATTTGATCTTTTACCATGCAAACCTCTGTAATAAAACCGAAGAGAAGGGGAGCACTGTGCAGTGTGTGTTCTGTGTTGTAACAGAGATCAGCGTCTTTGAAAATGTAGAAAAACATTCAAACTCTTTAAGACAGCGCAGTTGGTATTCTACCACCAGGGCAATTAATCGCGAGACGTTTATTGACTCAATCGTGTGAGTTAACGACGATTAAGCGACAGTCCTACTATTAAATCATCTGCTGGGGGGGCAGCTTTGGTGCCCCTGGTGCCCAGAGCAGCAGGCCCATGGGGCCGAGGATGCTTTAATTTAATAAGCCATAACCCTGAAAATGAGCAACCTGCCCCCCATCCCCGGGCAGGACCCGCCTGGCCCCAGCCCAGCACCCAGCACTGCCCTCAACACGCCGGGGCGGGCAGCGGGAGCTGGCTCAGGCAGGCCCTGGTCTCCCCTCTGGGCAGCACCGTGCGGCCCCCCTGCCCGCACGAGGGGGGGTCGGCGCCTAGGGCTGCGCTCATCCAAGCGGATCCTGCCCGTCCCCGGCGAACCAGGTCTGCCCAGCGCCCGCTGCCAGCCCAGCCCGTCTGAGCCTTACCCGCAGGGTCTGGCCCATGGCCCCAATGCCCAGCTGACACTCATGGCTCAGAGTCCACCAGCCCCGGAACGCCACCCCCCCTCCCCTGAACTCCCACCACAGCGTGTCTCTCAGGTGAGGGCAGCTGCTTTCCTGGACTCTGGGCTGTTGGTGCTTCTCGCCCGCCCCAGCCCAGGAATCTCCCCAAGCGAGACCCACCCCACCAATTCTCAGCTGGTCGAGCTCGGCTTCGCTCCCCCCCGAGCAGCCTAGGGTGTGACTGGCCCGGCTGCGTGGGGCACCCAGCTGGAGTCGGGCAGGGTGTGAGGAATACACCAACCTGGCCCCCGCGCTAGCAGGGCGGGGCGCTGCGACCCAGGCCCCTCCCTCCCGCCCCCCCACACCCCGCTACAGCCAGTGCCCCCCCCCCATTCCCATTGCAGGGAAGACACCGCAAGGGGATGTGTGTGTGGCGGGGGAGGAGGACCGCCAGGGCCAGGGAAGCAGCAGACGTGACAGGGTGCTGGTATAATGAACGCCATCAGCCCCCAGCCTGGCCACCCCCCGGCCTGGCCTCCTGCCAGCCCCCATCTTCACCCCAGGACCCACACCTTGGCAGGAATAGGCCAAGCAGGTGAACAAGCAGCTACCTCCAGGCAGAGCCCCCCGGGCACTAAGCCACCCCGCAAGCCCCTCGTCCGCCCCCCATAGTGCCACCCGCCAGCCCTTCTACGTGCCCCCAGCAGATATCTGTGGAGGTCGCTGGTCCTCCCCCAGAGAAACACACTTCAAATCAAACAGGCCCCCTGCCCGAGGCAGAGACTGACAGGCCGCGTCCAGTGCCCCCTAACTGGATTTCATAGGAATCAAGAACAGCCCAGTGGCATGGGGGGGGGGGGGGGGAATAGCCCTGGGAGGGGAGCCTCTTTGGGTTTGTGTTTTTCTTCCTCTTTCAACTTCTCCCCAGAGATTCCAAAGCCAGGACAATCTCAACAACAAAAAAATTTAATAATAATAAATTGTGTGGACCCCGTCCCCCCCAGCCCCCAGCCCCGCCCCCACTTCACATCCAGAACCGGGACCCCCCCCTTGCCAACTGTAGCACATCTCTAAAAACCCCTCCCGACTTTTACAAAGTTTTTAAAAGGTATTTATAGATATTTATAGCTATTTATAGATATATAATCTGGCTTTGTCTGGCTTTGCAAGGAATCAGCCTCTGGTTCCTGGGGGTGTTTCTGGGTTGACCTGACAAGCGAACTGGATTGTTGTTGGTTTTGCTGGTGACGACAGGTGTGTGTGTGTGTGTGGGGGGGGGAACGTGGGGGGGTGCACGTGACGGCCACAATCAGCTGATCGATTTTGCTCATGAAAATTTTAAACAACAACAAACGTTTCCCAAACCGACCCACTCCCCCCAACCCCCCCGGAAACACTTGAAATGCAACTCAACCAAACGACACTTCATCTTCACATGGGTGCAGCGCCCCCCGGCCGTGGGCCGGACCCCTGCGCCAGTGCGCTGGGGGGGCGAGTGGGGGGGAGCGGGGCGCTAGTTTGCTCCAACCTGGGTACGAACGTCCGTCGCTGGGGGTCTGTAAACCAGCCCCAGCCGATCCCAGCGAGGGCTCCGTGCCCCCCGCAGAGCCAGCGGCCCCCTGGCAGTGCCCACGGGATCCACTTCTGATTCTACAGAGGAGTCCGTCACAAATCAACAGGGAAGCCATGGCCACGGCGTGTGCTGGTACGGACAGGAACGGGCTGGGGCCCGGGGCCCGGGGCGGGGGGTGGCCCGCGGCCGCGTCACCTCCTCCCCCTCCTCCTCGGCTTGCCATGCGGCCCTCGGGCCTGGCAGCAAAGAGCAAGAACGGCGTCCTGCCGCCGGCGCCGGCCGCGGCGTCACGGCGAGTGGGTGGCCGGGCTGCTTCTGTTGGAGCTGGGCGACAGGCT